TTAAAAAAAAATTTTTATCGCCCTGGCTGGATAGTTGGTTAGAGTGTCATTCCAATATGCCAAGGTTGTGAGTTCCATCCCTGGTCAGGGCATATACAAGAATCAACCAGAGCCCTAGCTTGTTTGGCTCAGTGGTTACAGCGTCGGCCCTGAACTGAAGGGTCCTGGGTTCAATTCCAGCCAAGGGCAAGTGCCTTGGTTGCAGGCTTGATCCCCAGCCCCAGCAGGGGTGCATGCGGGAGGCAACCAATTGATGTGTCTCTCTCACATCGGTGTTTCTCTCTCCGCCCCACTTCCACTTTCTCTGAAAAGCAACGGAAAAAATACCCTTGGGTGAGGCATAAAAAAAAAATCAACCAATGAAAAACATGAAGTGATGCAGCAAATCAATGTTTCTCTCCTCCCCTTTCTCTCCCTCTCTGTAAAATCAATCAATAAATAAAAATTTTAAAAGAATTGATCTGTGCTCCTCTTAGAAGCTTCTAATTTCCAATCGAGATATGCTTCTCATCCATTCAGTTTAATTTTAGAGCCAGCATTTTCTAATTTTGCATGCAAAAATTAATTTAGGCACCAAAAAGGAAAACCATTTTGGCCATCTTAAGTTGATATCGTTTCTAGTTAAATCATCCCATTTATGCAAGCACTTGCAAGTAAAGTCTTCCTATTTATTGTATATCTATAGGAGTATTAATGGGGGCTGAGAGTTTTCAGCCTTGGAGGCATGATTTTCCATATTAATTTTAGTTTTCTTTGGATATCTGCACAGTCTGAAGAAATTTCTAGGGATATTGTGTGGTGGGTTGAAGTGTGCTGCTTACTGGTTGACTCCAAGGGGCTGTCCCCTCCCGAGTCACATTCAACTCTCTCTGTGTCTTGGCTTTTCTCCCCGGCTGTCTAATACAGCAGTGAGAACTCAGAGCACTAGGTAACCAACTTTTAAGTGCACATCCCCAGACGAATCAATTAATTAATTACAGTTGAGTTGGAATTCCCTACGGGGGTCCTGCACTTCATGGGGCATGCCCCCTTGAGGCAGGATAGTAAGACACTAGAAAAACTCCTTGGCAAGTAGAATGAGGAAACTGAGACAGATAGCTGAACAAACTGGCCTAGCAGTGTAGAGCCAGATACAGAAGGTCACCTCCCTAGAGATAACATCTAGGCCTCAGTTGTATTTTAGCTCCGGGCCCAGAAAAGCAGCAAAACCAGGTGGACTGGACAATGCTAGGAACCAGCTGCAATGACTAATGACCTCCTGCCCTAGCACTGATCCATCAGTAAGACCACGGCCCTGAAAGGGCAGACCTGGAAAACTGATAAATATTCTGCTGAAGCCGTCCCCTGAGACCTTCCCTAAGATTCCTTCCTGGGAGTACACCTGTGCCTTTCCCTGCCCTCTCTTCTTCCTCCACAGGCACTCATCTCCTAAACTCTAAGGGTATCCGAGAGACTTGCAATCAGGGGAGCAACAGGCACAGCAGTTCATCCTGGGATTACCCCCTGAACCTTTCTCCAAGGCTCCCTTTTCTCTGACTTCCCAGTGAGCAAAAGCAGCCCTGCCTTGGCTCATTTCTTTCTTATATTATTTCTAGAGAGCAAAAGCAGCCCCACCTAGGTCTCTCCTGCTGCTTCTTTCATGCTAAGCTCTTCCTTGTTTCACTGCCCCCAGCTTTAATAAACATTCTCTCAATCACCTGTACTCAGGTTGTAAAATCTTTCCCGCATGAAGTCAAGAACCTAAGTGCTACTGGGTGGCCCTGGGCATATCTTTTCAGGACCAGGTCCCCTATCCTGTAACACCCTGGCATTCCCACAAAGATGTTTAGTCACCTAAGAAAAATGAAAATTCAGGCTGGAGGGAGGAAACGCCCCTTATCTTCATAGCCAAATGAGTTCAGGCTCTCATTTATCCAGCAAAAAGTTCTTTGTTCAGACTCTCAGAAAGCAATTCCAATTGAAAAGCCAAAGTTAAAAATTAGCCACTCTTTTTTTTCTCCTGTCCTGGCTTGGCCTGGGTTCTATCAACCCTTAACCTTTAGTTCTACCTGGAGGACTTTTTTTTAATCATCACTCAAGGATATGCTTATTGATTTTTTTAGAGAGGGAGAGAGAGAAACATGGATGGTTGCCTTCCATTTGCGCCCTGACCAGGGATCAAACTCACTATCTTTTGATGTACAGGATAGTGCTCCAACCAACTGAGCCACACCAACTAGGGCTCTACCTGGAGGATTTGTAAAAAACAGCTTAATGCCCTAGCCAGTTTGCTTAATGGTTAGAGCATCGGCCCATGCACTGAAGGTTCTTGGATTCGATTACTGGTCCAGGGCACATACCTGGTTGCAGGTTCAATCCCCGGCCCCAGTTGGGGGCATGCATGAGGCAACCAGTCAATGTGTGTCTCTCAAATCAATGTCTCTCTCTCTCTCTCCCCCACCCCCTTCCACAATCTCTAAAAATCAATGGAAAAAAATAGCCTTGGGTGAGGATTAATAAAAAATAAAAGTAATAAATAAATAAATAAATGAACAGCTCAAATAACATCAGGGCCTCTTATCTTAAAACCTGGAGGTCTGGAATTCCAAGGGAAACTCACCTAAGTTCAGCTGATGCAAAACAAAGAACAGGTCAGTGGGGCCCCTTGGGCCCCTGCTGGTACCAAGCAAGGTGGTCTTGGGTGGACTTCTTTGGAATCCTGTTGCACCATGCCAAGTAAATGTCAAAGTAAAAAACTTTCAAACTTGTAGAGAATTTTTTAGTTTATTTGAGCCAAACTAACAAGTCCCAGGAAGCGAAATCTCAAAAGATTGAGAAAATGCTCCAGAGAATGGTAGTTCTACACCTTATTTTATTTATTTATTTATTTATTTATTAATCCCCACCTGAGGAGATATATATATATATTTTTTAAATATATCTTTATTGATTTCAGAGAGAGGATGGAGAGGGAGAGAGAGAGACAGAAACATCAATGATGAGAGAGTCATTGATCGAGCCCGCAACCTGGGCATGTGCCCTGACTGAGAATCGAACCCTGATCACCTGGATCCCAGGTCGACGCTCAACCGCTGAGCCATGCCCGGCCGGGCGTGAGGATATTTTTTCCGTTGCTTTTCAGAGAGAGTGGGGGGGGGGGACATCGATGTGAGAGAGAAACATCAATTGGCTGCCTCCCGCACACACCTCGACCTCGGCTGGGGATCGAGCCTGTAAATGAGGTGTCCTTGGCTGAATCAAACCGGGGACCCTTCAGTCCACAGGCTGACGCTCTAACCACTGAGCTTATCAGCCAGGGCTTGAACCTTACTTTACATATTATAATCAAAGGAGGAGGGTGGGGCAATCTCTGGGATTGAATAAAAAGTAAGAGAAATAGACAGTTAAGAGGAATAGTTAACAGTTAACCAATTAACACCATCATAATGACAATGAGGGGATTTGTGGTCTCTGCTCTGGCCTGGTAGTTGTGCTTTGAGGGGTCTGGAAAAAGGAAATTTCTTTGATATTCCAAAGGTATGTTATCAGGTGTGTTATCATAGATGCAAAAAAGACAACAGGCTCAGTTAAAGTAAAGATTGACCTTTGTTAGGAAAAATATTAGCCTAGGCTCTGACTACCTGACAAGAACTGCTTTTAGTTAGAAAGTTTTAATTGCAGACCATCCTATGTGGTTACTTTAGGTCTCTGAGTTTATAAGGCCACCATGCAGGCCTCCCTTCAGCTTGTCAGGTTTAGTATGTGGCCCCTTTTTCTTTCACAGTCAGATGTAATTTTACAAAGTTCACTGCAGGCAGGCTTCAAGGCCAANGTATGTGGCCCCTTTTTCTTTCACAGTCAGATGTAATTTTACAAAGTTCACTGCAGGCGGGCTTCAAGGCCAATCTTGTAAGGAGAGGAGACAAGGAAAACCAGCAGGAAGGATCTTCCAAAAGCCCCAGAAGACCTCCATTTAGGCCTATGGGTTTGTGTGCCAAAGCCTCCAAGAATCCCAGGCCTGAATGCAAAACTGTAGGGTTCTGAGTATGTATTACCACTTGGCAGGAGGTGGGAGGACCAGGAGGAACCACACTGTAACAATCTTTAACTGGTTTCTAGGCAAGTCTGTCCAATGGTTATGATCTTGTAAGAGCTTCTATCTATCTAGGTACCAAGATTGGCTCAGAGGCCCAACCAGCAAAGCTGCAAAGCAGTCTTGTACTTCATTTGTTAGGTGGGTGAATGGCCCTAGTCTTTTTTAAAAATTGATT